CACATGTAGTACACCTAACCTTACCATATTTGTGCTGAGAATTTAATTAGATCTAAACACTCATAAAATAGTAAAAACCAAGAACCCCAAAAGCTTAATGTTGATGTTCCCTTTCTTGAAACATCGGTCGAGGTCGGTGCACGGCGATGATTCTCTATCGTCTCCGGAGGCCAGAGCCGCCGTTGACACCGTCGTAGAGACCAGAGGCTCGTGTACGACATTCACGGTGTGGAGAAAATCGCTTCTGGTGAGTTGTGAAGGTTTCACGGTGATAGATTCAAAGGGAGATTTGATATACCGGGTCGATAACTATGCCCGAACCCGACCCGAAAAACTCATCCTCATGGATAAAGATGGCAACTCCGTGTTCCTTATGTACCGTACCAAGGTAAATTTATATACATTGATTAGAATTAAAACATACAAATATATATGGTTTAGATAATTAGAGTCATTGCACTATATATTAGATTGCTAAGAATCATCACTCGAGTTGCATGGTAGTCTGGCTTAGGGCAAAGACGTATATTTGTTGGTTTAGATTCAATTTTACCGTGCGCATAGACGACTTGATTATTTGGACTTGAGTTCAAATGTTTTACCTAGCTATACTAGATTTGTAAAAAACTTCAGAAATGATCCGGCAATTCGAAAAAAACTCGGATTCTGGTGATAAACTTCAAAAGATAACGCCTATAGGGTCTCACAAAGATAAATCTAAATCTAATTATTTATCAGACGAAATTGCTTAAGAAAATACTCTAGGTCGGCGATATGTAGAGAATTACAACAGATTTTAGTTGATAAACATTTTAGCCCATTTTTTTAAAGGAAAAATTTGTTTTTAAGTATTGAAGATATATGTATGAACGAAGATATTAGGCATCCCCATTGGGGGTATATAAGATTGTCTCTTAAATTAAAAATTATTAAAATTTGAGTAAAAGGAAAAAAAAAGAGTGTTTTTGTGGGGTGTATTGAAATATAAAATTAATAAAATTTGAATAAAAAGAGTAGAGAGTATGTTAAAGTTGAGTAAAAAGAAGAGAGAGTATGTTAAAGTAGATACTTTAGATACTTTTGGAGAGTTTGTTTTGAAATAATGGAATGTATTGAAATATAAAATTAATAAAAATTGAGTAAAAAGATGAAAGAGAAGTTATAAAATTGAGTATAAAGAAGAGAGAGTGTGTGTTTTAATAATTTTTAATTTAAAAGACAATTTTAAAATCCATGGATGGAGATGGCCTAACTACACCACCGTCCACAATCTGTCACGTCAAAAGTACACAAGTATTCTGCATGTAGACAATTGTATTGGCATGAATTTCGTATAACCCGTCATATTCATTGGGAATATATTTATCTACGAATTTCATTCAGCAATTTTGTCTTGATTAGTATTAGTATTCGATATAGTGACGTCTTATATCTCCGAGTATTATATATTTGACTCTTAATTCCATCACAATCCATCCTTCATTAGTTTTGCATAACTAAATGAATTTCAAATGAGTAAATTCTAGATCTAGGACATTAGTCGTAATTCATTAGTTAAATGGTTCACCTTAAAAACGAGAGATTAATGATTCGAAATCACTTATTTCAGTCATGATTGACCACTGTAAATATCTTTTATGATAAATATAATTTTGGCTAAGAATTTTGATACACTAAAATGAAAACAAAGATCGAACTAAATTGTTGTTTTCCAAATATTTTAAGGCTATATGTTTAATTAATCATGATCATGTATACATATTAGAATTATTTTTTTTCTTTTGCATTTTTCAGAAAATCACGCTAGTAGATAGTTGGGGAATATATGAAGCAAAGGATACAAATGGAGAAGCAAAAATACCAAAATGCCCGATATGGTATATGAGGAAGAGCTTAAAAATGAATATTTTGAGCACCAAATCCGACATTTTGGCGTACGTATTTTCAGGAACGTTCGATAAGAAGAGTTCTTACGTAATCAAAGGATCTTACAAATGTAAATCATGTAAAATTATACACGTTCCATCGAACCGGACAGTGGTGGAGATTAAAAGGAAAGAGGTCAGAACAAAAGGAGTCCGGTTCGGTTCAGATGTTTTTGATCTAGTTGTTAATTATGGGTTTGACACCGGTTTGGCAATGGCTTTGGTTTTGCTATTAGATCAAATGTTCTCTTAATAAAAAAAGTCTCGTCCTTTTTTTGGTCAACTGTATAGTATTATTGTACAGTTATCAAAATAAAATCAAGATTTTAAAGTTAGCC